TGACGAGCCCCTGCTCTGCCGGGCTGACGTCGTTACATCGCCCGTCGTAGAGCCCTTGCTCCGGCCGATGTCATTATCCAGTCTGGCGACGAGCCCCTGCTCTGCCGGGCTGACGTCGTTACATCTCCCTCCGTAGAGCCCTTGCTCCGGCCGATGTCATTATCCAGTCCGGCGACGAGCCCCTGCTCTGCCGGGCTGACGTCGTTACATCGCCCGTCGTTGAGCCCTTGCTCCGGCCGATGTCATTATCCATTCCGGCGACGAGCCCCTACTCTGCCGGAATGACGTCGTTACTTCGCCCGCCGACGAGCCCCTGCTCTACCGGGCCGACGTAATTATTACTCCCACTGCCGTCTTGCCTTCGCTTCGGCCGAGTTAATATCTTTATCTCTCCCGCCGACGAGCCCTAGCTCCACCAGGCCTGTCGACACTTCGCCGGCGCAACGGGTCCCTGGGAGCAAGCCTCAACCCCGCGGACGAGCACCACGAGTCGAGCTCATAAACGCCGCACGTGACAGACGAAACATGAGATACGCCAAATCCCAAGTCAAACCATTCTCATATCAAGTCAACGACATCCTCCTACACGGGGCCTACCGACTTGAACACCTGGCGGCACGCGCCCATCAATACCCATAAAAGTCGGCGTTCCTGCAGAAATCCTACCAATAGGTCTAGACTATTCTCACTCAATGAGTGACGTTATTGTATAGATTATTCGATGAGCTAGGTCAAGAAAGTAATTTACCTTTTGCTTTTAGAGGCTAGGTCGTCTTAGGCTTAGATCGAGTCGAAGCGGCGTAATTAACGTAAGGAACGAAGTGTTGGCTAGGATCAGTATGATGACCTAGTCGGCACTAGCCGGGCTCAACTAGGAAGCCCGGTCAGGCCAATAATACCACCGAGTCCGAACGCGAGACCGGTCAGGTAAACTGCCACATAATTATGTGCAGGTCGGGTCAGTACGATGGCCTGGCCGGCACGAGCCGGGCTCGGCAAAGTAGCCCGGTAAGGCCAAAGTCGCCAACGTAAGAAATGAATAACGAGCTCAAACGCGAAGCTCGGCCAGGCCAGACCATCACCCGACCCAACGAGCTGATCGGATCGGTAATGTGCCATCGTAATCATTAGTGCAATAAATTGCACAAGCCGGACTCGACAAAGGGGCCCGATTAGGCCGAAATGCCGTAAAACTAGAGGCCTACGCGCCATAATGCCGAAACGCCGTAAAACTAAAGGCCTACGAGCTGTAAGGCCGAAATGCCGTAAAACTAAAGGCCTACGCGCCATTAGGCCGAAACGCCGTAAAACTAAAGGCCTACGAGCCGTGAGGCCGAAGTGCCCTAAAACTATAAACTGAACTCTAAAAGCAGTTCGGCCCAACTAGATATGCGACAAGGTGCGCTCATTCATCACATACATTCATAACATACATTCGTCATACATTCATAAAATACATTCATCATACATTCACGCATTCTCATATAATCACATCATGCATACCACCTCGTAAGAAACATAGAGCTCAAAGCTCAATCAAACAAAGAGCTCAACGCTCACTCGGACAAGAGCTCTACGCTCACTCATGTCGACAATTCAAAGTGCATTCATGCATAAAAACGGGTACCAAATTACCCGACCAGGCCGCTCAGGCCCCATCCAATAGCCAATTCGTAAAAAATTGCCCATTCTCTCAAACTGACTCAATTCGTCAAAGAATAAAGCATGATTATCGTAAATACGTTAGGCTGAAGCCTAAAATGATCAACAAAATGCGCAAGGGTCCAAAAGTGCCCGAAAACAACAAAACAACGATCCGAGTAACCAAAAATACTCGATAAAAACTTAATAAGTCCTCGAGACGCATAAAGTAAAAGCCCACACGATAAAGAGCTCGGAGCTCAAGAATCACGAGGCGAAAACATTGCCAAATTGTAAAAATTAACGCGACTTCAGAACAGTTCAATCCAGAACATGTCCTAAACTCGGGGGCCTCCTGTTGATACCCAATTTGGCTCCGATTAAGTAACTGATAAATAAAATAATAAAATACGGCCCGACAACCAAGAAGTCAGAACATGTGATAAATAAATATTCAAACAAGTTATCAAAACGGATCACGCGAAAGTCGGACGGATCCCTAGATGTCGTGTCCGCCCACTGCCGAGCCGGATAGAGTTGAAAATAATCGGATGACTCACATACCACGAAGAAACCGCTTTGATAAACGCGACAATTTCCGAGAAGACGGACGCCAATTAGAACCGTCAGGAGTCATAAGCGGGTCCTACGATAACCATATCACACTAAATAATGTACCATTTGCTATATATTTTATTTGCCCACTTGCAAAATAGGGCCATGTATATATATGTCAAAAAGAGGAAAGAAAGGGGTCTCATTCTCCTCATTTTTTTACTTCTTCCCCACAATACAAGGAAAAGAGAGAGAGTAGGGGAGGTTGGATGGCTCTCTCAATTTTCACCTTCTACCCAAAAACATAATAAAGAAATACCATTTTCCATCTATTTTGTTCTTCATTTTTCATATATAGATTCGAATTATATTTGACGGTTGATCGTCCGATTTTCGACATCAAAACTGGATTTCTTCTTTTATATGTTCTCTAGTCGTGAACCATCTATGAAAGACATTGCAAGTATCACGATACTATTGGGATCGTATTTCCTCATAGTCTTATTCATTGCTTGACTCTCTCTCCTTTTTTGAACGACGAGGTTGTAAATGCTTTTATGAGAATTTGTTCGTATAAGTCCCCAGGAATGGATGGTTTTCATGCCATTTTCTTTCAACAACATTGGGTGATCCTTAAAAAATATATCTTCTCTTTTTTTTCTAAAACTGTTGGACGAGGGAAAGTCTGTTCAGGAGGTGAACGAAACGGTCGTTGTGCTTACTCCAAAAAAGAAAGACCCTGAGTATATCTCAGATTTCCAGCCTACAAGTCTCTGTAACAATATTGTAAAAAATTATTTCTAAATCCATTTCTAACAGGTCAGTTTATCACCGATAACACTATCTTCACCTTTGAACTCCTACATCTAGTGTTGAGGATACACTCGGGGAGCACAAATTGGATGACATTAAAACTCGATATGAGCAAAGTCTATGACTGGGTCGAATGGAGTTATATCGTCGTCATGCTCACGAAAAAAGGTTTTTCCCCTTGCTTCAAATCTCTTATTTATAATTGCATATCTAAAGTCAGCTATTCGTTCTCTATCAATGGAGTCATTAGTGGTTGTTTGGTTCCTTCTTGAGGGTTGAAACAAGGTTGTTCGTTATCCCCTTGTTTATTTATCCTGTGTGCTCAGGGTTTTTCTGAGGCCTTGAGGCATGCAGAAACCTCTCGTGAACTGAAGGGAATGTGCTGCAGTCGCCAAGTCCCTCTCATTTCTCATCTTCTCTTCACAGAAGATTCAATTATATTCTCTAAAGCTCGACCACAAGAATATTCATTGTTTTAAATATTCTTCGAGAGCACGAGTTCGCTTCAGGGCAAAAATAAATTTGGAGAAGACGACCATTTCTTTTTCCCCGAATACATATTAGGTATTCAAACTCAACGATCATAAAACTTACCTGGGTCTCCCATCTGTGGTGGGTCGTGTGAAACTTCGCACCTTCGCATTTATTCGAGATAAAGTTTGGAAACGACTACAAGGGTGGAATCCCTTGCTTATGTGATTCAAATAGGCAGTCGAGAAGTCTTGCTTAAACCGGTGATTCAATAAATCCCACTTACATGATGAGCCTATTCATATTCATGTTGGCTTATGTGATCAAATCAGATAACTAGTGAGCTAGTTCTACTGGGGTTCTCGGAATCGTTAACGTAAAATCGCATTGCTCACCTGGGACAAACTATCAGGCTCTAAACAAAGTGGGGGCCTTCGGGTTTAGGGATTTTCAATTGTTTAATCAATCACTACTGGCCAATTAAGCATGGATAATTACTAATAGTGTTGACTCGTTGGTGTCCCGAGTGCTTAAAGCAAAATATTTCCCTGATGTTGGTTTTCTCGACTCTGAAGCTTGCCCAAATTCCTCTTTTCTTTCGTAGAGTCTGTTGTGGGGACGAGAGGTGATTAAAGCAACCACGTGTTGGCGGATTGGGGATGGATCTCGCGTCAAAATCTATACAGACCCGTGGATTCCGAGTAATTCGTGGTTTAGGCCACTCTCACCTATAGTGTCTGGGCTTGAGTATGTCCATGATCTTTTTGGAACATCAGGAACTTGGAATAACGATCTCGTTCGCTAGGTATTTCTCCCCAGCGATTCTAAAAATTCTTTTTATCCTTCTTAGGGCCAGTAGCAATGTGGATCGTAATATTTGGCATACACAAGTAATGAGGAGTACTCACCATGCAGTGGCTATCGATTTCAGATACTATTACGCAGGGTATCTACGAGAGCTACTACAAATTCGAGTGCGACTTGGTGGAAAGGTTGTGGAAGCTTCACCTTCCTACAAAAATTAAAATCTTTACTTGTAAATTGTCACTTTCAGCTATTTCATCAAGTGAATATTTGGCTAGGAGACATGTTAGTTTGGATGATATATACTCGAGGTGTGGTTGTCGGAAACTAACTATCACCTTTTCTTTGATTGTTATTGGATGAAATTATTGTGGAAATATGTTGATGGTGGGATGTAGTCTCAGGTCTTTGGAGATGAGATTTCATTTTACTTTTTTCGGGCCTTTTGTCTGGGACCCAGGGTGATAAACTACATTCTTTTGCAAATAATGTTTATGGCTTATTTGGTATGAACGAAACCAATGTTGCAAGAATCTCAAGACTAGGTGCACGGAAAAAAGTGTGGCTTGGCTGAAAGCATTTGATAGCGCTCAATCAGGATCATTAGTGAATGAGTGATTTGTATTTACTATATATAAAAGAAAAAAAAAACAAAAAACCATTACAAAAAATCAAATAAAGAATATGGCTGTGTAACCTTTCTTTACAAAAAAATAAAAAAAGGGTATACTGTTTACAAATATACAATCAAATTGCAGTTCAAAATTATGGGAAATGCTAGGGTCCCTAATGGAACCATCCCGTCAGGAGTTTTAAACCGTTGGATACACATGTAGTTAGTATAAGATAGAAGATACAACGGTTAAAATACCCGGTATGGTTTCGTAACGGGACCATAACATTTCTCATATTCCGTAAGAAAAATGCTACAACCACATAATAAATATACATAGAGGTTTACATAACACTCACATGAAGTGGGGTCCACTTAATTTTTTATTTTTGTTAGACCCATTTAATGTGAGTGTTATGTACACATCTATGCATACTTATAGCATTTCTCATTCCGTGAGGGACTGTAGAATTTCGGCTGGCATTAGTTTTGTTGTTTGTCAAGAAGCGAAGTTCAAGAGCGAGAATTTGACCCTGAGGCATATTTTCCCCTTGTCCAAATCCAGCTTGGCCCCCGTGACCAGCCAATGTCCCGGGTTATCCGACGGCCCGCGGCAGATCTCGGACGTGTCCACAAATCTCAACATCTTCTTCTGCGGTTGAGCAGCCGGTGGGCCCGTCGGATAAACCCCGGAGTCGACAATCACCTGCTCGGGTTCCCGATCGCGAATTGAGGAGGCGCTAATGGAAGAGAAAAAGCCAGATCTGATGGAATGTCGGTCGGACGTACGGTCCATCCAGCTGGACTGCACCACGTAGCAACCGAAGAGCTGGGAAAACAAGAGGCGGAGATGGAGCACTGTTGTGGCGTCGTGTTTGTCCACGTGGAGCTGTGCTCCGGTGACTATGAAAGCCGATGGCTGTTGGAATTTAATCCAATTGGGGTCGTATTTGACTGGGGCTGTGCAGATGTGGGAGAATTTCTTCCACTGGACGGCTTCAAAGTAGCGCTGGCTGTCGGTTGTGTGTTGGGAGCTCCGCCACCATATCTGTGAGTGTCGGCGCTGGAGGAGAACGGGAGGGGTTACCAGGTGCTGAAGGTGAATGGCTAACCTGATAATTCATCAATTTTTGCAATCTTTACTCACAAATTCATATCTCTATTGGATGTGTGTGTGCCAGATTTTCATTTTTATATACCTATTCCCTTTGATGCCCTCCAGGTACAATCGCACTCCCGTCACCGGACTATTTTCCGACGTTACCTATTTTTACCAACACAAAATCAACTTTTTTAACTGATTCAGTTTTGCAGAAACAAAGAAATGAGTGATTTTGCAACCAACAAAGAACATTAAACGGAACAAGAAAGTGGATCGGAAATAATCACATAATGAAATTCCAAAATCACTCCAAAGATGTGTAGATTCATTTACTTGAGTTGTGTTCACATATAGCGTTGGGGCCATCAAGTTGAACTGCAATGCTGGTGTTTGCAATGTCTTATTATTTCTAGTTGGGCCCAACGGGAGGTCGTTGTGAATGGGGGCCCAAATCTTATGGGATTGAAAATCCAAGAAGTACCGCAAATCACTTATTGGAGGCTTATCTGTCAAATCAATTAAAGTGTAATGGGTTTGGGGGTTTTGGACTAATACCCTTTTAATCCATTAACCAAACACAAGTAAAATGTACTTACATCTAAGGTAGAGGTTGATTGCATGAGACAAAAATCCTTTTCCAGGAACACCCCTCAGTAGACAAGTTATGGGGATAAAGTTGAAAAGTATAGCGTCTGGCATACTTGGGACTGTTAACAGCCACTCGCAGTGCGTTTTAGCCGTCAAGTCCCCGCCTCTTCTTGAACAAATCACACTAATACCCTGTTCAAACAAATAAAATCAAAATAAATAATATTATATAGTCTCTTTAATGAAATATCGGTCAAAACAGGGTTTTTATGCACTAATAAGTAGGCAAGTGTGAAGGGTTTTTATGCTTCATATAGTGGGCACTAATCATAAACAAATCATAGTTAACTTGGAACCGCTTTTTTCTTATTATACACACAAATGTCAATAGCTGTGGACAGAAAGTCCAAAATATGAGGCTGCTTAGTTTGGATTAAAGTACTTCAGAAATAAATTCACAACTTGCAAATAAGTTGCAGCATAGAAACAAGAAAAGGATTTTGCTATGTTGTCTTTTGGGTTAATGCTAAAGCTTCGTGCTGTAATTAAGATTACTTATATGGTCCCTATTAAATTAGGGGCTATGACTTATAGGCTACACGCCAAAGCATTGACGATCAAGGGGTTTAATGGTAAATTTACGAGCCCATTTCAGATCAAAACAGGACAAATAAATTGATAATATTATTAATATATGTAAAAATGCACAAATTTAATTGAGAGAATGGAAAGAGAGGGAACTGATGTAAAACAATTTTAATATCATTTTGTTTGACTTTGTAGGATGGAAG